AAAAACCTTGGTCCTCCTGACCTTATTCTGCAGCAGCTAAAGCTACAAAATCCAGAAATCCTGATGGAAGACTGGTCGGTTCTCAAGACCGAAGAACCGCAAAAACACAGCCAATCGTACTTACTTCTTATCAACGAAGAATGCTTGCCAGTCATTGAGGCTAATGACTGCAAGCTGCGTTACGGCATCCGGAAGGCAAAAATTAAAATCTTTAAAAACGCGCCACCGGATAATATTCTGGATGAGGTTGAGGGCACTAGTAAGCTGCTAGATGACCTCATCATCGATAGCAAACCTTGTTGATGTATTAATGGCCAAGGTCGTGCAGATAAACCTGAAACACTCTAAATGTGCCACGGATAATCTGGCTGTCTTACTCAGGGAGGAGGACATCGACCTTGCCATCATCCAAGAGCCCTGGGTTCATAGCTCATGTGTCAAAGGGCTCAACATCAATGGGTATAATCTTTTTTATGACAAAGGACAGGGTAAGCCTAGATCGTGCATTTTAGCAAAAACGCACCTTAATGCTTTTCTCTGCTCTCACTTAAGTTCTTTAGATATAACCACCATCCGGATAGAGCGGAAGCTAAAACCTGCGATTTTGGTAACATCCGCCTACATGCCACACGACGATGAGGCACCTCCAGAGGGGGTACTATTAGTCCAAAATTTCGCGCAGACCGAGAAGCTAGCCTTGCTGATGGGTTGTGATGCCAATGCCCGGCACTCCTTGTGGGGAAGCTCGGAAATTAACGATAGAGGTGAGTCTCTTTTTGATTTCATATTAAAATGTAATCTAGAAGTATGTAATAAGGGTAACACTCCCACCTTCATTTTTCCGAGTACGGATGATCGTGTAGGCTGGGAAGAGGTTTTAGATATTACCCTTTGTTCGACTTCGTGCTCTTTAACGATCAATGATTGGAGAGTTTCAACCAGGAACTCCTTCTCTGATCATAGATATATCATGTTTGTGATGGATATTCCCATGGTAGCTAAGCAATCTCACCGTAATCCCAGGAAGACAAACTGGGATACTTTCAGGTCATTGCTCAATAGAAAAATCAACATAGCCCCCGCTCCAATTAACTCGATTAGGGAATTGGAGTGCAGGGTCAATTCTTTGACAAATAATATTATTTCTTCCTTTGAAGCATCATGTCCTCGCTCGTATGCGAAGAAGTGTAGGCCACCATGGTGGAACGAGAAGCTCTCTTTGCTCCGCAGGAATGCGAGAAGAGCCTTCAACGAAAGCTATCGGACCAAGGTTTGGACTCCATATAAAGATGCTCTTAGGGTTTACAAAAAAGCACTTCGGGAATCCAAGAAATTGTCATGGAATTCTCATTGCCAGCAAATTGAAAGCATTAAAGAATCGGCTAGACTAGCCAAATTGCTAGCAAATGGCCAATCTTGTCCTTCGCTCATTAACAAAGTAGACGGAAATCCAGTTAAATCCCTAACGGAATCCCTCTCACTATTAGTGGATACCCATTTTCCTGGTTCCTCGGGTGATCCCCCAAAGGTATTGCCGTATCGTTCAGCCAATTCTGGCGAGACTATACAGTCAGTGGTATCATCTAGAAGGATCAAATGGGCCATCGATTCATTCTCTCCATATAAAAGTCCGGGTCCTGACGGGATCTTACCAATTATGTTACAATCTCTGGGAGATGTAGCTGTAAATTGGCTGTACGCGATTTTCTGTAGCTGCTTTTCACTTAATCATGTCCCCAGCGGCTGGAGACAAGTTAGAGTAGTTTTTATTCCAAAAGCAGGTAGAACAGGCCATAGTACGGCTAAAGATTACAGACCCATCAGCCTTACTTCATTCTTACTTAAAACTATGGAAAGACTGATCGATGCTCACATCAGATCTTTACACAGTTTCGCTAAAATATCAAGGGCTCAACATGCATATCTCAAAGGTAAGTCCACAGAAACGGCACTACATGAGGTCGTCACTGTGGTGGAGAAATCTCTTGGATGTAAACAATTTACCTTAGCCGCCTTCCTGGATATAGAAGGAGCTTTTAATAACGTCAGTGTGGTAGCCATTCAGGATGCTCTCAGCGAAATGAACATCCCGGCCTGTATCTCCCGATGGATCGCTTCTATGCTTGGGTTTAGAATCATCAATGCAGAGATGGGCAATCTTAGCATTAGGAAGTGCGTCAGTAGGGGTACACCACAAGGGGGAGTGTTATCTCCCTTACTATGGATTTTAACAATGAACTCACTGCTTTTAAGGCTTAACCAGGGTGGAGTCAAAGCAGTAGCGTATGCGGATGATGTTGTCCTTCTGGTAACAGGCATGTTCCCTTCGGTGCTGAGTAGTATCATGGAGGGCGCTTTTATGAACCTTAGTAAATGGGCCTCAAAGTGTGACGTAGGTGTTAATCCTTCTAAGACAGAACTGTTACTGTTTACCAAAAAATATAAAATTCCTAACTTTCCGCTGCCAAGATTAAATGGCCAAAGATTAACTCTTTCGCACAAAGTTAAGTATCTAGGAGTAATTCTTGACACAAAACTTAACTGGAAAGCCAACATCGACGAAAGAAAGCTTGTGTGGCTTTCTATGCGTGCAAAAGGATGTACGGCAAGAGCTGGGGATTGCAGCCCAAAGTGATTCTCTGGCTTTACACAGCCGTCGTTCGGCCAATATTAACATATGGATGTCTGGTGTGGTGGCCTTCATTGAACAAACAGTGCATTGTTCAAAGACTAACCAGAATGCAAAGATCTGCCTGTATGGGAGCCACTGGGGCTCTAAGATCTTGCCCCACCAGTGCGCTCAATGTAATACTTAACTTGCTACCTATTGATATTTACATCAAGCAAGCTGCTACTCTCAGCGCGCAGAGGCTTAATGATCTAAACTGTTGGCGCTCGAGTGCTTTAGGACATGGTAATATCGCATCACTCTATCCGATAGATGATGTCAGGGTTTCAGACTACCTATGTCCTCGGTTACTATTCGATAATAACTTCGCCACCATAATTCCTTCAAGAGGAGATTGGGAGGCGGGTTTGCCTACAACTCTAGGAAAGATAGCGATCTACACCGACGGGTCTAAAATGGATGAGGGCGTTGGAGCCGGAATCTTTTCTACGGACCTAATGATTAGTAAATCATACCACCTCTCAGATTCCATCTCAATATTTCAGGCTGAAGTTTTTGCTATCCTTAGGGCATGTGTTCTTGCTTTAAATATGCGCCTTCACGGAAAAGAGGTCTGTATTCTAACTGACAGTCAGGCAGCTATTAAAGCTTTATCAGCAGTCTGTCTGTCATCAAGATTAGTAGAAGAATGTAAGGAAATTATTTCTGAACTAAGTGAGAGGTCCAAGGTTACTCTAGTGTGGGTTCCCGGGCATTCTAATATTGTGGGAAATGGGCGCGCCGACGAGCTTGCTAGGCTAGGCGCCTCTTCCACGGGTACCCCTATTTCGATCCCTGCCCCTGTCAGCTACGGGCGTAGGCTAATTTGTGACCATTTTTTGCGAAAGGCAAATAGTGAGTGGACCCTTACTCTGTCAGCAGCCAGGTCAAGGGCTACTTGGCCCATTTATTCCAAATATAGAACCTCTGACTTAATCTGTAGAAATAAATCTGAGGTTTCTAAGCTAGTATCTATCTTTACGGGTCACTGGTCAATAGGACGGCATGGAGCCAGACTTGGCCTTTCCTGTGGTACCTCATGTAGTGCGTGTCTACCAACACTTGAAGAAATGACACCAGAACACCTGATGTGTTTTTGTCCGGGTCTGGCCAGAACTAGGTTTAAGTTTCTAGGGACCCCTTTCTTCAACTCACTTAGCGATATCTCCAGCATCAGCATTGGCCAGATTCTTGCCTTTGTTAATGCCTCTGGTTGGTTCTAGTTTGACTCTCTATCTACTACCCACTTTTACGAGGTTTTTGTGGACTCAAAACGGCTTTCATCCTTAGCTATTTGAGGAGGATTCGTCCTCCCTCCACCACAACTAACTAACTAACTATAATAAATACAATTAATACAATAAAGGTATATGACATTTTGCGTGTGGGAAATTATTCTCTTTAACCTTTTTCATACATTTGTATAATTACAAATTTATTTGCGTGATACAAAAGTTGCCGTCATACAACGAATAAAATGGCTGTCTTAAATATACGTACGGCTGTGTGGAAAGCATTAAAGTGAGTGGCTGCAAAAATATTAGCAGATGATTATTATAAGGATGGCTTTGGCATGGAGCAAGATCAGGAGACGCATTTCGATAAATTACAAATTGCACATGGCGAGTTGGTTGCTGCTGCAAAAGAAGACAGCGAATTAAAGTCTCACATCAAGTTGTGGGACGAGGTCGAAAACCTGTACACGAAGGGGTGTATACTGCCGTTGCATTGCGGCATAAGCTGGCCCGCTGTGATGCACAATATATGGATGCAGCATTCAACATGGCAGTCGGGGTGACGTCTCCTCATGGCTTTGCAATTAAATTGGTACGGTTGGCGATACCCAAGTTTGATGATACTATGCGTAACTGGCTGACATTTAAGAAAAATTAACGTTGGTGCACACGATAGAGTTTCCAGAGGCATACAAGCTTGGCAAACTATGAGAGGCAGTCGCACTAATTTGAGACGTGTACAGTGGCGGATACGATGAGGTATGGGCAGCACTGAAGGCTCAAACCGAAAAGCCGAAAAAGTTGGCTAATATACACATGGCTAGACTGATTGGCTTAAACTCACCACAAGCTAAGTCAACATTTGCGTTGCTTTCGGTGGTAGACACAGTGCGGTAGTCCTTGCGAGCGCTTGCGGTAATGAACCTGTAACGACCAGTTTTGGTCGTTCTTTTGCTGGGGTAAACTCACCGGTTTGCCCTGGGTCGTGACAATAAATTTTTATGAAATAATGACACAGGGTTTAAATATTTATTTTTAAATGTTTATTTATTAGTTGAATTTTTTAAGTCTAACAATGTTGTATATTATGATTTTTTACCACTTTTTATTGGCGGAGCAAAAAATATATATAAATATAATAAAATATATATAAATATAATAAAATATATATTATAATATACAATAATAATACATATACTTGCATATTCATAATTGTAGCGCAATTGTTGTATTTAGCGTTTTGATGATGGTTACTGCGTACAAATACCATTTACACCAGGTGCTCCACCACTTGGCAATTCACATTAGATGGCACTCAGGTAACTTCACCAGTTGGAATGAAAATTGACATCCAACTCAGAGCTCAGGCAAAGATATGTGGACTTTATACGCTTGGTCACATGCACCCTATTCAACATCATTTAGGCAGCCCATCTCAGGCATACTACATTTCACATCATGCAGTTATCGCAAAATTCTAAATCGTTTTCAATGCTTCCACAAAAACATCAAATGGCAACCCATCAAATGATACACAATTGGCTGGCCCTCCAATATAGGATCTATTATTCAACCTTTTGCTTCGCTTCAGGCACCATCGCATTGCATTCACAGCTGATGTGGAGAAAA